GGCCATCTTACCGGCCCTCTTAAGGCCCCCGTGGGTCCTTTTGGGGCCCTCTTTGGGTCCTCTTGGGGCTCATTTTGGGGGTCTTGGGGTTCTCTTGGGGCTCCTTGAGGAGGTCTGGGAGGCCTCTTGGGTCCAAATCAGCACGTAGGTTCGCGTCGTGTTGACTGGCGGCGACCCCGCCGCTGGCGTTCAATTCTGGACGCCGCCAGCGATCCAGAATCGGTCGATGTTGAAGGATCCCACGTTTCGGAAACGGCCGATCGAAAGTTGAACGATCCCCGCGGTTTCAGAAACCAGCGCCGAAGTCGGCACGACACGACCCTGCCGTACTCGTCGTGCCACTGGCTTGTCCGCGGCGCGCTCTGAAACGTCTCGCGCGTTTCTTTTGCGCTTGCGACCCATTCTGGCCAGCAGGCCGGGCTACACCTTCGACCACCTCTCCCCACTGGAAGCTCTTCAGCTTGTCGTCCTACTTCTCATCATCATTTTGTCATCCTACGTACTCTTTGTCCTCCCCATCGCTCTCCTCTTTCCTCCCTCTCCTTTCTCTTCTACCTTCCCGCTTTCGACTCTTTATACTCTACTGCCTGCTCTTTGTACCCCACCTCCTCTTCCTCCTCCTTCTCCAACTCCTTCGCTTTCCTGCTCCGCGTTCGCATCCCTCTTATTCTCGACTCGAAGCCCTTATTCCCAACGCTCCATGGGGTGCTCCCTCTCTTCCTTCTCCCCTCCTGCTGCTGCTGCTGGCCCCAAGGGAGAACTGTGCAAAGCTTCCGGCTCGAGCTTCTCGAGACGCGAGATGTTTGGGCCCTCCTTGCCCTCCTCCTCCTCCCTGCCTCCCATCTCCTCCTCCTGCCTCCTGCCACCCATCTCCTCCTCCTCCTCCTCCTCCTCCTCGTCGAGCCCTCCTGCCTCCTGCCTCCCATCTCCTCCTCCTCGTCTCCGTCCCCCCGCTGCGCTCCGCCCCGCGCTGGGCAGGAGCGCAGAGGGTCGGCGTCGCGGTCGAGAGGGGCTGCCAGAAGCTCTCGAAGGACCGCGCCCCTCGAAGGCAGGAGCAGGGGCAGGCACGTGCTACTGAGGATGAGAAGGGGCTGCAAGGGGGTTGCAACTTTTTCCCACCGCGCGTCTTCACGGCTTCTGGCCCGAGTGCCATCACAGATCGATCCGGCTCGGAAAATGCCGCCGAAGGTTGGGGTCTAGGGATCATTTTTTGTGTTTTTTTGCTTGAAAGGCAAATGCATGTTGCTGTATTTTTCCGCATCGTCGGATCTCAGGGAAGGAGGGGGCGGAGGTGGAGGAGGCAGCCCTTCCGTGCGGGTCCCTCCGCGCCATCTGCCGAAGCGAGAGAGGAGAATATGGGTCCGCACATGAGTCATCGCGAGACGTGTCCAGCTATCAGCAGAGCCAGATAAAGTAGGATGAGGACGAATATGAGGGAGAGCATGAGCAGGAACAGGAAGAGGAATGCTGATGATGATGATGAACGCATTGACGACGACAATGCTGCTGACGACGACGTCGCTGAGGATGATGACGATGACGCTGACGACGGCGATGATAGATGATAATGGCGGTGACGACGACGACAACGACGACGGTGACGAAGCTGCTACTGCTGCTGCTGCCGCCGCCGCTGCTGCTGCTAATGATGAGGGGAAGAGAATGAAGATGTTGATGCTGATGATGATGTTGAGATGTTGATGATGGTGGTGGTGGCGGTGGTGATGATGATGCTGATGAAGATTGACGATGATGGTGATGATGATGATCATGATGCTAATGACGATGGTGATACTGGTGATGATGATGCTGATGATTATGATGATGCTGCTAATGATGATGCTGCTGATGATGATGGTGATGATGATTATGATGATGATTCTGATGATGATTATTATGATGATAATGATGATGGTGATTGTGATGATGATGCTGCTGATGATGATGTTGATGCTGATGATGATGTTGATGATGATGATGCTTATGATTATGATGATGATGCTGATGATGCTGTTAATGAGGATGCTGCTGATGATGCTGCTGATGATGATGCTACTGATGATGATGATGATGGTGGTGGTGGTGGTGGTGGTGATGATGATGATGCTTATGATGATGCTGATGCTGATGATGATGCTGATGATGATGATTATGATGATGATGACGATGATGATGATTATGATGATGACGATGATAATGATGATGATGATCATGATGATGATGATGGTGATGATGATTCTGATGATGATGAGGATGACGATGATGATGATGATGATGATGATGATGATGATGATGATGATGGTGGTGATGATGATGATGGTGATGGTGGTGATGATGATGATGCTGATCCTGATGCTGATGATGATCATGACGATGACGATGCTGATGATGATGATGATGATGATGATGATGATGAGAATGATGATGTTGTTGCTGCTGCTGATGCTGATGATGATGATGACGATGATGATGATGATGATGATGATGATGCTGATGATGA